AGTCTATATGATGAAACCAGTGGTGCAGACTGATCAAGTGAGCAAAATGCAAAAACCAGTACATAATGCACAAAGGAAATCACGTGTAGAATGTATCAACGTTTAACCACGAAATACTAAGACAAATGACTCTGAACACAACCCTGTGGCTGTTCTTAATGCCCTCTGGTTCAGTTTCCTATCATTTCCCCAGCGGTGAGCTCAAGCATGAAAAACAACTGATGCAAGAGCTTTCTGTTATATTTTGATCTAGATATACTCCTGCGATGTTTGGGAAAAACGTTTTTAGGCATCTCAAAGGGGAAACAAGAAGTAAATGCAAAAGGAAAAAAAAATGGACCTTTGAACCCAGGGCAGGAAATCAAATCATTACTTTAACGTCAAATTTTGGCATCAAATACTTTGGTCATACAATACTGTCTCTGTGGTTCTGGCTGTTTAGCACTAAACACCCAGTTATAAAAGGTAGGCTTGTTGTAGGTTTATTTTTTTTCCATTTAAGTTCTGACAAAACAGTTCACCATCTCCCTGCACAAACTTGAGAGAGAGAAAAAAAGATAGCAAGAAAGAGAGAGGTGGCTTGCTTTTTTTTTTTTTTTTTTTTTTTTTTTTTTTTTTTTTTTTTTTTTAATAATATGGAATAATCTATAAGTCTACAGGAACAAAGACATCTAAGATGGCTGCTCAGCCTTGGAATGTACATGTTTTGCAGCAAAGTTGTTGAAGAACCTTCCGCTGGCACAGATTATTCTTTTTCACAAGCATACAGAAGCCTCCTTCGGCCCAGGACTCTTCCGTTGCTTTTCCAGAAGTCAGCAAGAGAGAGGGGAGTGGAGGTTGGAAGTAGCATGGCGCGCGCACACACGGAAGGAGGTTTTGATTGGCCAGAGAGGCAGATGGGGGGTTGGAGGAGGTCATTCGGGAGCAGCCAATAAGGAGGAAATTTGGTCCACCCAAAGTGATTTCAGTCAACAGCATTGTTTTTCAAGCAGAGATATTTGCAGTCCAACGGGAAATGTGATTGGTATCCATTTGTGAAAAAAAAAAAAAAAAAAAAAGATTGAAAAAAGAGTAAGTTAGAAATCAACCATAACATAAGCAAGGAATTTTTCTTTTCAGAATTCTCTGGAGCAGAAAATATATAGTAGTCATGTGTACCATATTTTACTGACTCTAAGACGCAGAATTTAAAGAAGCACCATTATTTTAAGTATTGCAAAGAAAATATTGCTTCTTATTAAACTGTGACTCATTGATTATAATTTATACTTATAAAAATATTTGTTAAATAATATTCTGTTTGTTTTGTTTCTGTGCTCATGCAATAATCCTTTCTTGAATATTGAACAAGTTTAGCTTTTTTTTGGGTACCGGGGATTGAACTCAGGACCTTACGCTTGCCAGGCAGGCGCGGTGCCATGGAACTAAATCCCTGGCCCTAAACAAGTTTAACTTTTGAAGCTCTTTTGAGCTGCTGTTAAATGGCACACAAGAAGTAGTAGCCATGTGCTTAATTCAGTGGAACAGACATGTGTGCCTAAGTCTCACATGGAGGCAGTGACACTTATGTCCTATCCACCTGCTCATCAACAGCAGTTGTAAGCTGCTATGAATTACAGGATTCATCTGATTTTATGATGTCCAAAAATTAAAAAAGGGGCTTGTCTTAGAATCATGAAAATATGACAGCTGAAAGGAAACAAACAGCCCATCCTTAAAGGTAGTTGCCATCAGATCTGAAAAAGCCTGGTGAGCCATTCTTTAAAAAGCCTGGTGACTTCGTTCTTTAACTGACCTGAAAATGGACTCATAGCAAATTACAGTTCTTCATTATACACTTTTGCCCACAATCCTGACATTCCTCTTTTATCAAAGTGCCACTTGGTACAACTTTGGCTATGGTTACCATGGTTGAGCAAAAGTAGTTACATCATCACAAACCCTGAGTTGCCTGGTTTGAAGTGCTAGAGGTGAAAACTTCAAAGTTACAGTGGATTTCCTGTGTCCGTCACTTAAAAGTCTTCCTCAGTTTTCTGGTTCCTGACTTAAAAAAAATTCAGGTGGCATTTTCAGTTACAAGGAAACCACGTTTTTAAGTTAAGGTAAAGTGGCACTTTGTAGTAACTAAAAAGCGATACTTACATGTCCCCAGAGTGCCATCAATTCAGGCATCTCACCCTTGTATGGTACTGTGAAAATAGCTTTGCCGAAGAAACCCTGAAAACAAAGTTTGAGTGGATCCAGCCCAATCCCTGCAGACCAATGATACATCAGGAGAGCCATGAAGGTGCTGTCACCTGTGATGCTCATACAGGACACTTGATGCTGCATCTGAGCCCTCAGATGCCCACTTGTTTCTAATGGCTTTTTGAGATTCCTAGCACGGATTTGTGGAATAACCATGCAAGGTCAGTAACACTGTCTTCTTCATTTTGTGTAGATATGGGAAATAGGCACGGGGAGGTTCAGAACCTGCCCCAGGTCTAGAGCCCAGCTATGAACTTTCTGACTCCCAAGCCTGTACTGCATTTTGTGAACTACAGAACAGTTCTGTCTCACTTGAGATTTTGGGAAGAGGAAACATTCAAAAGAAGGGAATGAATAAACCTAAAACAATGATTTTGTTACTAAAACTGTTCTAAGGGAATACTTTCTATTTTTATAACTATCTAGTTTCTTTCTACCTCATTGAAATGGGTTTTCTGCACAAAGCTTAGGAACAAATTTTAGGGTCCCCTCAACATGAATTACATGGAAAGCCAAAGTGCATAAAATGTTGGAATGGAATAATTTAAATTCACTCCTTGGGAAACTGGCTAGATTAATGAGGACCCCAGGCATTTCCCAAACTGTTGGGGAATGGGGCAGTGCAGGGGTCTCAAGCCAGGACGGACATTAGAAATCCTTGAGAAACTTCTAAAAATACACACTCTCAGGCAACACCCAGGACAATTCAATCAGAATTTTGGGGGATCTTTTTTGAGAACCACTGGTGCAAAGAAAGGAAAAACAGACACACATTTAAAAGTCTTAAGCTCTATACTTTGGTCTACTGCTGTTAGAGTCACATCCTAAGGATTTTTGTTCCCTGTAAGATTGGAGTATAAATTACTAACCTCAAGGCTTCACAAAAGATTTAGATACTGTTTGATTATTGCTTATGCATCAAAATTATGAACAATATGAATAATAGGAAAGTAGAATAAATTATATAATCTTCACATGATCGAATTTTATGCTGGTATTAAAAATGAAATTTCCTAAGATGCTATAAAAACACAGGACACGAGACACTGTTCATGCATAATGTTTAGTACAAAAAGCAGAATATAAAACTATTTGTGCATGGTATTTTAGTGATCTGGTAAAAAGTACATATAGAAAAGGATTTTAAAGAGATATATCAAAAATTAAGCAGAAAAGGCTATGCACTATCTGATTCCAACTGTATGACACTTTGCAAAGGGGAAATCTATGGAGACAGAGCCAGTTTTTTCCAGGGGTTGGGGGAACTGAAGAAGAAAGAGGTAGAGCACAGATGAGTTCCAGGGCAGTGAACCGTTCTGTGTGACACTGTAACCGTGCGTACATGGCATGACATATTTGTCCAAACCCACAGTCTGCACAGTGCCAAGAGCAAATCTCTATGTAAAACTATGAGCTTTGGGTGAAAACGATGGGTCACCGTAGGTTTCTGAGCTGTAACAAACAGGCCACTTTGGTGCCAGATGTCAACACCTTGGGAGGCAGGAACATACAGGACATCTCTAGACTTCCTGCTCGGTTTTTCTATGAGTCTAAAACTGCTTTAAAAAGTATAATTTATTAATAAAAAAACTAATGAGCTATACTGGCCTGTGGGACTGTAGGTAATTTATTTCTTCTTGCAATTAAAAAAATTCAAAACCCAACCCATTAAAGTCATGGGTTCACATTTGACCCAGCTCTTCCTCTGCTGGGGATCTTCCACAAAGAATTAAAAGAATCATACCACAGTGATATATGTGCACCCATGTTCATAGCAGCATGGTTTGTAATAGCTAAAACTTGGAAACAGCCCAAATGCCCATTAACTGGAGACTGGACCAAGAAAATGTGGGTTTTTTTTTTTTTAAATAAAATAGAGTACTACTCAGCCATCAAAAATGAGAAATTAGAGACATTTATAGCTAAATGAATGCACATTGAGGCAATACTCTTAAGTGAAATAAATAGGACACACATGTATAAATACCAAATAGTTTCTCTAGTGTGAGAAACTGAAAGTGTAAATAAGGACTAAAAGGTATAATAGATAATGTGAAATAGGAAGAAAAGGGGCAAAGGGGAAAGGGAAGTGGGAGGGGTAGGGGAAAGGAAAGAGGGGAATGGAATCAATATGAGAAAATGGAAAAATGGAAACAAAATCTTTGTAAGTAGGGAGGGATGGAGGGGTTGATAGGAGGGCTGGGCAAGGGTGAAAAATAAGAACCAAGAGAGACTATGTAAAGGTGCAAATTTCCAATGATGAATGTCATTATATTGTATACCTAAAATGTACCAATGATTAGCATGAATAATTGATAATGCAAAATAGGAAGAAAAGGTCCAAAGGGGTAGGGGTAGTGGGAGGGGCAGGGGAAAGGAAAGAAGGGAAAGGAAAAATGCTGAGAAATGGAAAAAATGGAAATAAAGTCTTTGTAAATAGGGAAGGGTGGAGGGCATGAAGGGAGGGCTAGGAATGGGGAAAAAATAAGAACCAAGATGCATTATGTAAAGGTACAATTCCCAATGAGAAATGTAATTGTGTTGTATACCTACAATGTACCAATAAAAGAATTTAAATTAAAAAAAATTAAAAAATAAAGTCATGGGTTTACGATGAATAAATTCCAATAAGATATAAGAGCTGCCTCATCTAATGCATGCTTGTTAGTTCCTTTTAAAATGGAAATGGATTAGGTTCTAAGTGGAAAGATCATCCTTTGCTCAGAAGATCTGAATGTGCAGAATATACTCACCATCCTTGCAGATGGCTCCCAGCTGACACACTCCTAAGTCTAAGAGGTACCCACTGGGGCAGCTGGTGCAGTTCTTGAACCCTGGGCCGTTACACGTCAAACAACTGGTATCGCATCTATTGGAAGATGTACAATTTTTAATCCCATCATCCACGGGAGAAGATGTATTTTTTACTATCAGCTTTTTAATGTCTTAAGCTTGACCCTTTCTTTGAAGAGGACATACAAATATTTTGTTGCAAAAATTTCTAGGTTTAATAATATTAAAGAAAACATAGCAGGTAGATACTGATGTCAAAGCAGATACAGCATGTAGTTGAAGCAGAATTATTCCTCTCAAAGCTTTAAGGTGTTCCTGAGGCAAAAAAGGTCAGATAACTTGGGTTAAAGCTGTAAGGCAGTGTCAAGAGTTAAACGATTTGTCACTAACAATTCTGTTTTCTCCTTACTGATGAAGGCAGGCAGGTAATGTTACCTATAAGGAAGCAGGTAATGCTGTGGGGCAGACACACTTACCTTTTGCAGGATTTGTATCCATGTTCTGCAGAGTGGTCTAGGTAGTAGCTGATGCTGCAGCTCTGCACACATCTGCCCTCCTCCATGAAGTAACCCTCCGTGCAGTTAATACACCCATCAGCACCTGCCCCTTTAGTGCAAGACAAATGCAGGAAACAGAAACCAAGCCTCAGGGAAGGCTGCAGTATGAGCGGCCCCTAGCAGTTTGTGAAAAGGACATTCATCTGTTATAATTTTGTGTTATACTTCATTTGTGTTTTTTCTTATTTTCCTTGCATGGGAGAAACCCCTCCTATTTTAAACTGAATCTATTTACAAAAAATATCTGCTCTCTTTGGAAAGAGGAGATGTCATTAGGATACTTAAGTTTCTCAGTGGGGAGAGGATGTTGGTGATTGACTTTGCATAAGAATACACACACGATTATCAAAAGAGAAAGAGACTACAGCCACACTTTCTTTAGATCCGTCAAGTGGGTTGTATGAAGGACAGCTGGAGCCAGACAAACAAAAACAAAACTGGAAACAAGAGAATAAGCAGCAGAACTGGGAGAAGGTACCAGCACAGGTGGCACAGAAGCGGTGGCAGGGCTGGCAGTCTTGGCCACTGAAGTACCATCCGTCTTCACAGGTGACAGAACACTGGGCTCCCTGCAGGCTGGGAGAAATGGAAACGGAGCTGTAAGCAGACCTTTGTGATCAAGGCAGAGCAGTCATGATTCACCAAATTCCATGTGTAACAAATACTGTACCCTCAGAGACCAGTGGATTCAAAGTCAGGGAAATGGCCTTGTGCCTTATTTTTCACCTATAATGAGATCTACAGCATATACATATGTTGTTGAGATTTAGGGACAGCCTCCTAAACTTGTCAGACTGGCAGACACTCTTACTTTCAGTACATCTTACAACCCAGCAGTCTAAAAAGTATCTGATGACAAAACGGTCACATTGCCTAACAACATGCCCCGCAATCCCCTAATATCCAGATCTACTCCCCAATAAATTTAAAAATTGATCCACAATTCTAATTGCAGTAGAAACACACAGTAAATGAATTACAACTGATATAAAAAAGTTTAATGACAACTCCTTCCCAAGCTCCAGCCCAGAGTCCCTGGAGTAGCTTTTCACATTTTTAGGTGTTTCCGATTTTTAAGGTTTTACTGCTTCTATCAAAACAAGAAAATTCTTAGGCCAAAGATATAGCTCAGAGGCAGAGCATATGCTTAGCATGCACAAACCCCTGGATTCAAATCCCAGCACCACACATACACATGCACAGACACAAATTCTAATACATTTTTGCCTGTTTCTAGATTTATTCATTTAAGACACTGTAATGAGGAATTTAGCAAAATTACCTACAGCGCTGCTTTCTCAAATATCCTCACTTTTCTTTTTTAAAAGTGTTTTTAGAAGTTATTTATATCATATTAATTTATAATGCACTTGAATTTCTATTATTTACCTTGTACAATGAGACAGTATCTAATAAGTTGGCAGAATGTCAAATGAAAAATATATACTTTTCTTTCCCTCCTAATTTTCTGTCAGCTATGAGACTTCCCAAAGCTTACAGTTTGATTCTTAACATTACAAATAAATGCACAGAATTTACAATACACAATATAAAATATTAGACACTGAAAAACTAGTGTGACACAGAAAAACTGTATGAAACAGGGAGGAAATGTAATCCTATGTCACCACCAAATTGATGATACTACAAGATTGTATCTAAGGAACACAGGCAAGTTTGAGAGTCTTTATGCTGTTTCAATTGACTCGACTGCTCTGTATGTGGATCATATCAACTTTAAAAATTAAAATTGGTTTCTTCCTATGTTCATTAAATAAAGTAGGAAGGTACAAAAAATAGAGTAGACAAAGAAAAAGAAAAAAAAGAACAGGGCCTGGAATTTGGCTCAGTGGTGCCGCTGCCTGCCTCAAAAGTGCCAGGTCCCGTTTGATCCTTGGTACAGAGAGAGAGAGAGAGAGAGAGAGAGAGAGAGAGAACACATATCTCCAACAGTTCCTGTTAACATTTTACTTCATTTTCTTGTTGGATGTGATGCATAGATATGTTCCCATTTGTTCTTCACCATTATGTAAGAATTTACAGAGCTTGTGAAGCGAATAGGTTCTAGGAAAATGCAAGGGGCCTAGAGGAGACAAAGGGCCGCTTCACTGGAAGTACGTATCATTTGCAGTCCTTCTTCCTGGCCAGAGAGCAGTCCTTTAAAAAGTGAAGTAAAGGAAATGCCTCTCCCTTTCTGCAGTAGTAGAAAAAGGACAGTGCATCTAGTGGAACCTCTTGGAGGCAGAAGGGCCACTGGAAAACTTACAACATTTTATAAAGGCTGCCTGAGTTTTCCAAGAAAGGACAGCACTTTTGAGTTGGCTGCTGTTCATCAAGACACAGAGGTTGCACTCTAGGAAGAAATGAATGAAAAGGACACAGCACAGGGTGGTTACAGGACCCTGAAGCTTTCTGCTACTGCCCAAATGCAGGCCCTGTGAAACTAAGGAGCCTGGTACGGGGAATGCCTTCATCCTTCTCCGATGAACTGGCTGGGTCAGACCTGTGCCGTCCACGGTGGCTACTGAGCTCTTAAAACATAGCTATTGCAGCCCAAGGAATTCAATTTTACAGTCCATATAATTTTAATTAATGTAAGTCTAAATTTGAGAAATTTGCAATTGGTTTAGTTATTGGCAAGCTTTAGAACACATTTGAGATCTCTTGGCTTTTTAAAACTCTACTTTCTCAACTAGATCTTAAAAAATCCAAATATAGATATTTCTCATAAAAATTATCATCAGGATTGAGATGTACTTTAAGACCATATATCCCAGATTCTGAAGTTTTTTGTTTTTTGTTTTTTTTGGTACCAGGAATCAAACTCAGGGACTCGTGCCACTGAGCTACATTCCTGGCTTGAAGATTTAGTAAGACAAGAAAGGAATGTAAAATACATTCGATTTTTAAGTTTGTCACATGTTTAAATGATATTTTGGACATATCAGGCTAAATAAAATATTTTATTAAAATCAACTTCTGTATCTTTTTACTTCTTTTAATATGGTTACTGGCATATTTAAAATTAACTACATGACTCATATTTCTATCATAGTGCATTGATCTAAAAATCAAGAAAATCATTTAAGTAATCTTTTATTTCTGATGGGCCGATTATGTACCAGGTGCTACACTAAGAGCCTCACAATGTTACCATAGTTTATTTTTCACCATAATCCTGCAAAATATGGGTTATTGTCACCATTTCAGAGATGAGAAAATGGAGGTTTGAAGTAAAGCAGCTTGCTCAAGATCACACAGTTATTAAACAGCAGAGGCGAACTTGAGCCCACATCTCTCTTCCTTCTTTCTGTTACACTACTGTTCCTCCATAAAGAATAAAGAGGCTGAATAGATTGATATTTCTCAAGATCTTCCATCTTGAGATGCAAGCTACTCATAAACAAACTAACACGGAATGCATTCATGAAAAAAAGGAAAAAAACTATAGATCATAAATCTAAGTGAAAATAATGTTCCAAAACTGATTAATAAAGGCACTATGAAAACCTAAAAGGAATCCAGTGGGAGAGAATTCCAACTCTGTGTAGAGTCCAACTCCTCACTTAGCCTAGAACGGTATGAGCTTCTCTACCGTGGTCAAGGGGCTACCAAGTCCCTTTCAGTTGCATGCTGTTCTCCTGTAGTCTACCATCTGTCAGACCTTGACAATGAATGAACCATCCATTCAAAGCAGACCTCTCCTGGTGCTAAATCTACATGCATATGATAGCATAATGGAGCCAAGCCTGAGGTATTTAAGATAAGAGAATGACTGGGTATGTGCAGAGAAATAATAAAGATAAGAGAATAACTCTTCACCATCCAAGGAATTAATCAGGTGGATTAAGCATAATTCATTGGCATCATCTGCACAGAAATCCTTGCCCTGCACAATGCAGGCAAAAAGCATGGATGCCTCTCAAATTGTCATTTTTATTGACTTGTATCTGACTCACTTGTCCTCAGAGAATTTATTTAGTTTACAACCCTTCCTTAGTCAAGATGGCTTCCAATTTTTCACACCTAATGGTACAGATAACGCAAATAGCAGTGAAGTTCTTCAGTGGAAGTCAAACCAAGGGTAGACAGTAAGAGTGCTATTACTTGTTTATTCTTATTTTTCCACTTTGTTTACATGAGAAGCTCCCTGGGCTGTGTTACTTGATGAACTCCTTCACTTTCTTACCTTAGCCCATCCCTGCATTCTGTACAATTATGGGATTCAGTACATGTCTTGCAATTTTCACCGCATTTCCGGCAAAGATTTTTTTCTGTTCAAAAAAAAAAGAAGCACAGTTATAAATCAGTTGGTCAACTGGATTCCATAAAAGCATGTGGAGATATTAGAATATTTGCTAATGAATCGGTACCCATGGCCTTGAGTAGGAAATTGCAGGAAAAGCCTCAGAATCAACATTTGTTATCACTTCTCAGTAATGCAAATACAAGCATGGACTGCTATCCTGGGAAATTTCTGACACTCATTTGCCATTCTACAGGCAAGAGAACTATAGCCTATTTAGTGCTTAGCCGAATAATTTACAGCCTTTTTTCCCCTTTCCACTCCCTTTCCCAAGAGGAGTTTCCTAACTCCCAACACTAAAAATCCCACTCCTGGAGCTGAGCAGCAGTGCTTTGGAAGGATTGAACTGCAGTGCTGTGATGAGGATGGAGCCCTCCATGCCCATAGCTTTTAGGATTCTCTGACAAGCAGCACAAGAAAAGGGAACTTACAGTGAAGATTCAAGGTAAAGCACTACTATTTCTTGCCTTGTCTGAAACAGTGTCTTGTACTTTAGGGCTTCTGTGGACCTAATAGAAATGCTGTTGTATTTTAGATAATATCTACATTCTGTAGAGTGGAAATGTATTGGTTTGAACAACTGCACTGTGAATCATGGTTTTCCTGTTCAACACTAAATTCAGGTTCACACAGGAAAAAAGTAAGTCAATGCATGATTGTTCTATTATGAAAAATGGTGATTTAGTGTATCAAGGAAGGATAAACTTTTGCTGGGGACCGGGTATCTGCTCTGATAGGCAAGTAGATTATATTCCCAATGTATATGTAAAGCTGAATGAAACTTTGTTCACAGGTTCTCTTCCTTTATCTGTCTTTAAATGTTGGTGCTTTTCAGGGTTCCATAGGAAATACTAAGCCCTTGACAATACTATGGTATTTATTACATGGTAATCATTGTGTTATTAAGAATAGCCGTTATGGCCTACGACGGTGGTAAACCTGTGGCACTTGAATGTTCGTATCATTGAAAGCTCTAAAAGGTTCGCCATCACTGGCTTAGGATATGAAGTCACAGGTCCTAAATTTGTCTTTTGCTTTTAGGGCTTCTAGTGAGCAAATTCAGCATCTCTAGTCTCTCATTAGGAAAGTGGAGGTAACAATGATACCCACTTTCAGCTTGCCTTCAGGAATTAATAAAATTATTCAAGAGGATGATATAAACTGCAAATGTATTGGCAGTAATCATTACTAATCACGATCATATGTGATCACCATGTTGTAGATAAAAGGAGTCATTATAGGAGAAAACTATAATGAAAAGCAACTACATAGGAGAGAGATACAGACTCTTGAACTAATACTAGGTAGTAGCTAAAGTAATCGAACTTCTTTCCTTAATTATCCATCTCCCAGACTCTCCAAAAGAGAATAGGCCCATAAGGGCTGGAGGTGTATCTCAGTGATAGAGACCATGCTTAGCATGCTCAGAGCCCCACCAAAAGAAAACAAATGAATCTCTCCATTATTTTGATTTTGTTGTATAACATTCTAGAACCAAAATTCTTTTCCAAGACTGAGCCTTCTTGATAGAATTTTGACTTCACTCTCCAAGGACTACTGAATATTTCTGTGGATTCCTTATGCTCCTTCCTTTTTCTCTTCTAGTTTTTTTTTTCCTTATCAAACTGTAGCTCATGTTCCAAATTTTGGGGCAAATAAGAACTGTAGAGCAATCTCTACCCCCTACTCCCAAGGTAAGATGAGAAACTCATCTGCTACACAGAGACACCTGCTTTTGAATTGGAGAATTTCATTTCTTAAGAAGCAAGAGATCCTTTAACCACCTATAGAAATGATTTCTAAACAAAACAAAACAAAACAAATGATTCCTGAAAGCATAGCCTTGCAAAAAGTCTTTTAAAAGCAGCTTTTGTTCTTTTAAACTTGGGTTTTCTTATTTGTTAGGTTGTGCAGAAACATGATATTTCAGTGTCATTATATACCATTGTGTGATGCCTTTGTTTAAGATAAATTATCCTGAACTGAGAAATAAAGGAAAAGATACCTGCAGCCCTTTTCAGAGCCATACTGGAGTGCTAACAGGTGGGCCCAGAGATCATTAATTCTCTAGGACAAGGATGGCGAACCTTTTAGAGCTTTCAACGATACAAAGAGCCCATTATGGCACATGGTCTGCCACCACGGCTCTTGGACAACGTATCTTGGTTTGTCTGCTAATTACGGTGGATGAGGGCCCAAACTCTGAAGTTATATGTTATAGCATAGATCTTTCCTTAATAAGGTTGCAAATTATTTCTAGACAAAATGGCCCCAAAATGCTAGTTTTTTTGCCATGAAGGAAATTATTTAATTTCACCTCTAGCTCAGCAAAGAGATTTCATTTTGCCTTTCCAGGTAGATGATAGTACTTGATCATCTTGGAGCCCATTTGTCATCTTACATGTGACCTCTTTAATGAGTTACATGACTTTAACATATGTTCACTCTAGTCATGCTTTGAAAACTTTTCAAAGCATGTATTCTGATGTCATACAGGCCTGCCCCCAGCTGGAGAGTATGCAGTAAAGAACAGGCCCAACTGCTACCCTCAGTTATCCTTTATAAGCCTGCTTAATGGGCCCACAGCTGGCAGCTAGAAACTTGGCTTTCTAAATTCGAGGGTTTCTACCACTCTGATGAAAGTGGCTCTTGTCTAAACTGTGTAAAACAGTATGGTTTATGATGAACACTTGTTTTCCTTCTAGGAGTCTGAAATTTTGGTGCATGCCAGGCAGAAAGTGCCTGCCTGACCAGTTCCAAGTATCAAGCCTGGGCACTCAGTCTCTATTGAGCCTCGGTGGACAACATTTTACAAGTTTGTCACAAATCCTTGCCGGTGTAAAGAAACATGTCCTGAGTGACTGTACTGAGAGGGCACTCCTCTTGGAAGCTGTGCCCAGTTTCTTCTGGACTTTGCCATTTCTCTTTGGTGATTTTATTTTGTATTCTTTTGCTCTAATAAATCATAACTGCATTCAAGAGTACAAGCACATCCTGAGTCTGATGAGCATTCCTAGCAAATCTTGAATCTGGGTGTGGTCTCGAGGATCCTCTGAAACAGTCGGTTAAAAGAATTCTTATGCAATGATTCTAAACTATCTCTTAAAATAAATTGGCTAGGACCTGTTTGATATTAAGCAATGTGCAGTTTTCATAAAGGATGAATATTCCTCCTAACATCATTGAAATGAAAATCCTGCACGTTGCCTCTAAAACAGGAATATTTTAAATCAACTCACTGGTGTCCTGATAGGACCCATCAGGGCAGTGGATAATGCAGCTGTTGGTTTCTTCGATCAGGAAGTAACCATATTTACAGGACAGGCACTGGTCACCATGGCTTCCGAAGCAGGACTCACAGTTCGGTGCACATTTCCTGCAGCGCTTCTTGTCAGCATGGTAGTGGCCCGGGGGGCAACTGGAGACACAGATCCTGCATTGTGGAATGATAAGGAAGAAGGATCTGACACCAGGGACTCAGTCCTCAGTATTCTGCTGGAGGAGCTCGGCAAACAGTTGGCCCGAGCCTGGAAATCAGTTCGCAACCAGAATGCCAACCACAAACTCAAAGGCCTGAGTGCTGTTCGCTAAAGCTTCCTCCCTGTGCAGGGCACTGACGGAGGAACACAGTTACAGGGCGCCACGTCCATCAGGTGAGGTGTCCCTTGATCTCAGCCATCTCTTAGCTCAGGTCCAGCGTTAAAAGGAAGGATGGTTAGACACTGAATCTCCACAGTATGCCTGGGGTGGTGAGTCAGAGGGAAAACACATGGGAACCCTGATTTTATGCAAAAAAGGTCACTCTAATTGGGGTTTTTCCTACTTTTTTATGGGTCCTTTGTGTGTACATGTGGGTGGTGGTCCTCGCTGTATGCTACAGTCTAAATTAATATAAATACATTTATATTTATGTTGGATAGGAGCTGTTTTTCTTAACAACTTTGTCCACAACTGAAAGACAAGCCTTAATTTATTGATTTCTTTGACAAATATTTACTGAGCACCAATTAAACATCAGGCATTTCTGAAATACAAGAGATAAAGGAGAAAGTGAGTTAGTTAAAGGTCTTTTCCTCAAGGAATTTAGATTCCAGGACAGACTTAAACAGGGATTTGAGCCTGGCTCATCTGCCTGGGTGGCTGGAATATGGTGGTGCCACATGCAGCTCCCAGGGTGACTCTCTGCCTGGAGGAGAGAGAAGGTGGGCAGGGCACGAGGACCGTGGGGCAGGGAGGATGTGTTGTGGCTGGGCAGTCCATGGTCCCTGGCCTGGCCCCATGGCCACTGATCTGCACGGCTCTAGGCAGGAGCCAGTGGCTCAGGGGCACAGGATACAGATCAGTGCCCAGCACAGAAAGCTGAGCCTAAGCAGGGACCAGCGCCTTTACCACATGGGTGTGGTGCATGCTGGGGAGCGTGGGAGAGCATCAGTCTGACCCACGCACTGGCATTTCCATGAAGGCAAAGACAGCCAGAGCATCAAATATGAACTGGGTGTAAAAGACACAGAACTTCAGTTAAACAAGTAGATCAAGTGAGAGAGCTTCTATTATCACCATGGTCACTAGTTAGTAGCAATGCACTGTATACTTTAAAATTGCTAAGAGAATAGATTGTAAAATTTCTAACCACAAAGAAACAGTAAGTACAAAAGGGAATGCTTACATTGAATAGCTTGATTTAGCCATTCCACGGTGTGTGCCTATTTGAAAAGATCATGCTATACACTATAAATACACTTTTTAACTTGATATTTAAAACCAACAAACAAAAAGACAAAAAAGAAAGAACTGGAGGAAGGCTGAGGCAGGAGGATTGCCAGTTCAAGTCCAGCTTGGGAAACTCCGTGAGATCCTGTCTCAAAATTTTAAAAGGCTGGCTTGGGTTCAATCCTCAGTACCACAAAACAACAACAGCAATAACAGAAAACAACAACAGAAGTCTCTCCAGCTAAATGTGAGGAGAGACATTTGCAGTTACATAGCACACTTGTAACTTGGTATCATTTTCACCCTTGTGGGTTCCACAGGTGGGCAGTGGTCTTGGAGCTCAGGGCCTGGTGGGGGGACAAGGGAGATAATGGCACCAGAATACTCCCCATGTTGTTAGTCCTGCGTGAACTCCTGGGCCTGCGGTGACATGCTGAGGGATCTTACGCGGTCGCTCTCTTACCTGGTGTTATTTTTCAGCTTGTAATAATAGTGCAAACAGTCATTGCAGTGGTCTGGTCCTGGCCCGTCACAGCCCACCTCACTGCACTCAGGATCACAGGGACCTTTCCAAAAGAGATTAGAGCAAAACATGAAAAAGGGATTTTAGCAGGACTGGTTGATCTTGATTTTGGTAAAGAATAGCATCATTTTTTTTCTCTCTTATGTAGTAACAGTTTCTTTAAGACAGAAGACATGATAATAAGTCAACATGATAATAAGCTCAGAGATAAACTTTGAATTTTATTAGGAAAACCTAAATTGCCTAGGTATCAAGCATGTAAAATCTACACAAGGCCCATTTTTCAAAACACATATGGCTATGAGGTGGAAGATAAGAAATATTTCAGAATTCAAATGAACAATGTGACTATTTCAACTGGAAATAACCCTGTAATTAATATGCATAACAAAACGTAGGATTTATAGAAAATGAGAAGTTAGGTGTTGACAAAAAAAGAAAAAAGATTATTACTCGATGCCTAGACCAAATTGCCTGTCATATCCAAGGTCATGAAAGCCACAGAATACTTCTATAACTCAGTGGCCTGAAGAAACATCATTATAGAATCTGGCACAAGCTTATCAGCATCTAGTCTTGGATCACAAAGCAGGTACCTCAGGTACAGATAATAGATTCAAGATTGCATCCTATCCAAAGGCCAATGGAAAACTCCATGAGAGAAAATGACATAAACAAGCAAAAATGAGAGGTAGCTTAAAAGAGTGCCAGACTTGGGACAAAGTTTCCTAATTTCTCTTGTACATATTCTTTGGTATAGATCTAGAGAGAATGCATAGAGAGAAAAAAAATGCCAGAAAATTATTTTGTGATTGATGAAAAACTTTTTATTGACATGGGTTACTTACAGTTTTTACTTCTTTTCCTCTGATTCTATATTTTGGTATAATGGTACCTTAATCATCAAGGTCTTTTCCACTGAAAATCCATGTGATTTTAACCATCAATGAGTAATTGCATAAAATATACAAATAGTAAGCTAAGGATACTAGAAATGTTTTGAATCCTACTTTAATCAAAAGGACTTACTGTGGATCATGCTTTCCCTAAGACATTATGGAACTATGTCCAACATTACTGAATCCTGGAAGCATAAAATGTTAGAACGGCATGGGATGACTTAGAAAAAAATCTGGTAGTCAAACACTCTCATTTTACTGATGAGAAGATTGGTATTTCCAAGCATCAATAGTGATTTTTCCTAACACCATAGAGCTGGAAGGGTTTGGATCAACATTGCCCTGCTATCTAGTCTGGATTTTTTGCTTAAAGGTAGCAAATCAGGTATTGAAAATGGCCTTTCCATCTGAATGGAAATAAGTCATTTCAAATGCTACAGAACTGAAATATATTCCTGATTAACTGCAAGAGTCATTTGACAGCATTGTTTATCCCTATTTTCCCATAAGCCTTAAATCTATCTCTACATTAAATTCCACAGCTGGTACAACTTGGGACAGGTTAGCTGTCTACCACTGGCTGCCAGGGGAGGGATGGCTGTACTGGGAAAGGGTTGAAGTCCAGCCAGCTCTGGTTCTCATGGTCCCTGGGATTCAATGAAACAGAACAGGAGTCTGGTTATGACTCCTCCATCTGTGCCTCTAGTCAGGCTGGCTTCTACATGAAGGTAAAAAGTCACAGCTCCAAAGGAAAGAGTTATGGGTGGCCCTAAATTTTCACCAGATGATTTCTAGAATTAAAAAAAAAACCCTAAACACATTTATTCTTGCCCCTAGGGTTCTGTATGGCAGATTCACATGCTATGTTGTTTCTTTGATTATCTTAAACTGTCCCAGATGAAGTCTAGCACTGTAGATTGCAGAGTAATAATGAAATAATTGTCTTTGTTCTTTCATAGTTATGATTGATGTTTTGGAGATGTAATAAGAAAAACCAAAAAATTCTTCAGTTGTGTTCAGAGTCTTAACCTTACCAAAATTTGAATTAGGAACATCACCAACATTTGAATAAGAAAAAAGTAATAGGTTTCTATTGTGATCCACTTACGCTTTTGGATACACTTCCTCCTAACAAAGATGATAAAATGGTTGACAGTTATAACATAAATAATCATTTTATAAGCTCAAAGCAAACCAAGGCAAAAATCTCTTACATTCTAGCTTCATTGGTCCTAACTATCCAAGCATTTTACTAATTCTGGGAGACTGTTTAGAACAAAGGAGCTAAATGACTATTTAGAGATATTCTGCTCAGGTGATTAATGAAGCATATTTATCTCAGTATTTAGAGAAAAAATTCCAGAACTACAATAACCAAACATTTCTTGTCTGAAGGTACATTACACTTCTATTTACACAGAGTTCTCCATTAGGAGAAGCTTTCTCCGTTAAGAGTTACATATCATATCTCAATATTCAATGGTCCTAGAAGTTGTAGTCAATGTAACAAGATAGGAGTCAGAAATGTATTGAGGATTAAAAAACCTCCACAACTTACAGGTGATATAGCTATAGTACCTAAACCACCAAAAAAACCAACTCTAAACATACACAGTATATTAGTGACAGTTAAGTTTTTGGACAGATATTGATAAAAATGCAGCAACTAAAAGATTTCTTACATACCAGTGTATACTAGTCAGAAAGTATGGAATATTTTCCCTTACAAGAACAACAAGAGGGGCCAAGGATTTAGCTCAGCGGCACTGCAAGTGCCTTGCAAGCACAAGGTCCTGAGTTCGATCCCTGGTACAAAAAAAAAAAAGAGTTGGGGTCGGGGATTTAGCTCAGTGGGTTCGCCGCCTGCTGCGCAAGTGCAAGGACCTGAGTTCAATCCCCAGTACCAAAAAAAAAAAAAAAAAGACCAACAAGACCCAGTACTTACAGTATAACATGACCAAGGAGGAAACTACATAAAATTAAAAAGATTTCACCAAAATAGGACAAGACATATGTTTTATATGGAAAAGCTATGTACTATAAAAAACAGTTTTTTCCACGAGCATGCATGTAAATTCAAATTAAATTCCAATGGGACTTTTAAAGGGGCATTTAATAAACAATTTTAAATTTTATCTAGAGAATAGCAGGGCAATCATTCCTATGAAAATAGGAAGCAGATGTTCAAGAAGTATTAAAAGACGTCAGGAGGGCTGAGGGTGTAGCCCAGTGGTAGGGAGTACGCTCAGCATGAACGAGGCCTTAAGTTCAACTGCTAACATCCCTGATCTTCCCCCACACCCTCCAAAAAAAGCAAAAGCAAAACAAAACAAAACACTGTGTGTGGTAGTGAGAATTAACAGATTGATGAATCAGAAAAGGTGGTACTAGCAGAGATCTTGACATAAAAACTTACACTGTAAAGAAAGTATCATAAACCAATAAAAGAAAGGACACTCAGTTAATCTCATTGGGAAATAAGGACAGCTTCAATTCACACTATATATCATAAACTAAAGTAAGTTCTAGATGAGTTAAATGGTCAAATGCAGAAAACGAACTAAGAACTACATGTGAATATTTAGCTTATAGTCAAGGATAAAACTGCATTAAAAAAATCTACAACTGTTATGTCTGAAACTACACATCCTTTTCTCTAACAATGTTTTCTGTTAAAATATCACAAAATGAAACAAAAATTACATTTGGGAAGTAAGATCCCTAAGAATATGTTTTCCATCAATACAAGATAAAGTGAAAGACAGTAACGTACAAAGAGTTCTTATAAAATAGGTAAGAGAATTACTGCCACCTTGAATAGAAAAATGGGTAAAAACCAGTTGTATTTAGTTCAGGGAACCTCAGGGGAAAGTGTTTAGATTTACTAAGGATCAAAGCTATAAAACTTAAAAAATACACTTTTTTTACTTCTCTGTTTCATTTCCAGTTGATGCTGGCAAGAATGAGGGCAATGAAAACCCCAGAGCTGGTCACAGTGTGGCCTGGTACATCTTGTCTGGAGAGCATGTGCTGGAATGTTTCGAGGCCCTACAACTGGTTATCTCCTTTGTGGCAGTAAACCTCAGAATAGAATTTTATTCTAAAGAAATAATCAAAGATATAGACAAAGACTCAAATAACGATGCACATCGTTTAAACCTTGTTTAAAAGTAGTATAAAACTAGGCAAACTATGTATCTCAGATTATGCATTAAAAACATCACAGTACAATCATAGTATGGAATATTAGCTTGGTAGACAATACCTACAGATACCTGAATATATGAATAATGAACAAACTAAAATGCACACACAAATATTTGGGAGGATGGATAAAATGTATCAGAATATGATTAATCTATTATCATAGCAAATACTATTTTAATTATATATTACCCTACATGGTGGGCTGATGCATAAGCATTCTGAAAATGTGTCCCCGGCAGGCTCACTCACCTGCATAATCCTCTGTACCGTAGTCTTCTGTGGGGTCCTCAACTCGGCTATAGCGGAAACGTTCCACCTTAGGAAACTCGTTGGTTGGGGAGTATGGCTGCACAGAGGTGCCATAGAGGACTAAAGACCATTCTTTCAATTTACCTAGAAGGCCACAAGATGACCACATATTCCCTTGTTAGCTGTAAAACTTAAGTCCTTTATAAATAGACAATAGTAGAACACACACAAGAGTAGAAGAACTGCAGAGAGCAGACTGAAAGGAATCATTGCATCAGATACAAAGCTAACTATACACATTTTCTACCATTTCCAGAATTAACTATTTAATAAGTTGTACACCACAGATTTACTAAGCACCTACTTATTGGATAGGTCTTGATTTAATCAGCATTTATAGGAAAGCTGGGAAACAAACACACTTCAGATTACTGGATCAAAGACTAAATTTCAAATTATGAGTCTTTAAGAGAATTCCAGAATTTTTAAGAACATTTTGTTTTCCTAGGTCTTATTTGGGCTTTTCATAATTTTTGGTATGATCCCAGTTGTTAACAAATAGACACATACACACCAAAAAAAACCCCTCCAAACAAACCTCGGTTCTACCTAATTCCTTAATCTGCCATTCAATGTTAAGAATCACACATAAACTATCTTTTTTTTTCTTTTTTTGCTTTTTGAGACAGGGGTTTCACTTTGTAGTGCAGGCTGGCCTTGAACTCATAATGATTCTTCTGCCTCAGCCTCCCAAGTGCTGGGATTACAGCAGTGCCACCACGTCCAGCTTATAAGCTCTGTTGCAGGCTGTGCTGTCCAGTATGATAGTTACTAGATAGACAGTATATAGCTATTTAAATTAACTAAAATTTACAAATCTCTTTCCTCACTGACAGCAGCCACACATCAAGTGCTCAACAGTGGTAGGTAGCCGGTTGTCACGCTACGGGCCACACAGAGAGACCACTGCCTGCCATCACTGCAGAGTGTTCTCCCAGGCACTGGTGCAAGACGGCATTTCTGAGTCAAGAATGCCATGAGACCAAAAGTGATTTTTTCACCTCCTCTGGATGGATTACAAGGAACATTTTGCTTTCTTTAAGGCCTTATTTATCCATTTAGTTCTTAGCTTCAAAAAAATTAAAGTTTTCAATGCAAATTAAAGAAAAAGGGAAAACTGCCTCCAAGCCATGAAGGTTAATATGATTCACAGCAAAAGGAATAAGAAGAAGTGATTTAAAACAAAACCATTTCAAATCTAGAAATATGTTAGTAGGAAGGCAGAATCCCCCTCTGAACGCCTCTCACCCTGGCTAACACAGAATCTGGGATGGTCAGGGCTAGGGTCAAGGGGAGGGTCAGGGGCTATCTCAGAGAGGGACGACCTTCAGCTGTAGGTCCTTTCATCTGTTAGCATCTCTAACCACTATAAATCTATGCCTAATGGTTCTAAGTACAGTACTTACTATATGCTAACAAGCACAGGCCTAAATACTTTCTAAATTTTATTCAGTTTAATGTGACAGCAACTCTTGAGGAAAGGACTAGCGTTCCCAATATATAGATGGGGGAACTGAGGCATAGCAGTTGCTAACTTACCCAGTTTCAGTAAGAGGATCGGTTAATGTTAGAAACCATTCTTAATCCAAATTCTGAGCTCTTAAACTATCATTACTAGGACTTTAGGAACCATTAGAAAAAAGTACACACATGCTCCTTGACTTATGATGATGTTTGGTCCTGATAAAATCACTATAAATTGAAAATATTGTAAGTTAAAACTGCATTTAATATACTCAACCTACCAAACATCATAGCTTAGCCTAGTCTACCCTAAACGTGCTTATAATATTTATATTAGATGTCAGTTAGGCAAAAATCACCTCATACAAAGCCTATCTTATCAAAAAATGTCTAATATCTCACATATACACACTGATGAGTGTTTTGTGGACATGATGGGATTCAAAACCACAATATCCAAAAAGCACCAGCAACACGGTACCCCAGAGTACCAGTTATTTATTCTCATGATTGCGTGACTTCCTGGGGCAGTGGCTCACTGCCACTGGCCAGCATCATGAGAGAGTACTGTCCTGCACATCACTAACTCAAGAAATGATCACAACTCAGAGCTCTAAATAGGGTTTCCACTGAATGCACATTGCTTTCACACCATCATAAAGTTGAAATCTTAAGGTGAACAATCATTAAATCATCCATATTCCACAAAAGACTCATTTTTTTCTGACATGTGCATTTGGGCCAATACAATTGGTTTATATGTGATTTGCTCTTTGCTAGCTTTTCTTTGCACTCATTTGTTAATGGCCATGCTTTCCACAATCAGGGTGGTATTTAGGCTCAATTCCAAATGGCACACATTAAGTAGTGGCTAGAAGTGAATGATTGTCAGGAACTGATGTCCTCTTTGATTGTCTTGAGGTAGCAATACAAGGAAAAACCTACTTTCCTTAGCGCATCTCTCAAGTGTACCAGTGGAATATATAACACAACAACATTACAGGTCATCTTGTCCATCAGTCACCGTTTTGGATCTAAAAATTTATCCTCCAAGGTGCTTTGAAGAATGTTGTCTCAAAATTAATTATATCCCTTTGTGCCACTTCTGAAGGACATCATAGGCTCACTAGGGATATCTTCACAATTCATGTCTTTAATTTTTACTTATGAGGCCATCACAAGAGCTAAGCAGATGTCGGTGACATGCTCTTGAATTTCTAGAATTGGGTGCTAAATAAACCTCTTTTCTTTCTTTCTTTCTTTTTTTTTTGTACTGGGGACTGAACTCGGGACCTTGCACTTTTGAGACAGGCACTGGAACCACTGAACTAAGGCCCCGGCCCAAACCTCTTTTCTTTACAAAGTATCCAGCCACAGATATTTTCTTATAATATCCCAAAACAGACTAGGACATGTGAGAAATACTCTTAGGTAAAAATATATTCCACCATTTTCTTATATAATACATTTATTTATAGAAAGAAAGTTCTCACCTGGAGTCTTGAAGTTCCTCAGTTGAGAGGGAGTATCATAAACTTCAAGAATCCAATCACCTGCAGCTTGTTCTCCCCAGCAATGAATGGTCATGAACTCCCAATTTTTAAACCCTTCCATAGAATGATCAAATAGCCTGAAAAAGAATCACAAAACACTGTCCTGTATGGAATTTAAAATCCAGTGAGGGTACAGGCAACACCATAATCAATGATCACTTGCAATCAGTCAACACACTTAGCTGTACCCTGGAGTTTGTCTTTATTCTGGAATCACCAGTTAGCAGACCCACACATAGAACAGTGCTCTACTGTAAGCAAACAGGCCTGGGGCTGGTCATGTTAATAGCAAATCTACAAGGACTAACCATATGAGAAGCAGGGAAACGAAGCTAAGTAAGACTCTACCTACAACACTGAGGGTAAATAAAGGGCTGAAGATGTGGAGCAACTGGAACTCTCTCATGGCATTGAGAGGAATGTAAAAGTGTTACAGCAAATTCACCATACAACTCAACAATCTCTTTTTAAGATATTTACCTAACAGAAATATGTCTGCAGAAAGAATTCCACCTGGGTGTTTATGATCGTCAAAATCTGTAAACTCAACTGATCATGAACTGGGGAATGAGTAAATGAATTATGGTATATCCGCACAATGAAATACTATGCAATACTTAAAAGCTAATTAACTACTAATATATACAACCACATAAATGAAGTTCATAGACATACGCTAAGTGAAAGAAGCCAGACCCAAAGACTTCATATTGCATGCTTTGGTTTATATCACATTCTAGAAAAGGAAACAGATCAGTAGTTGTCAGGAGTTTAGGAGAGGAGACAGAGGTGGGAGAGAAGTTTTTAGGGTTACTGAATTTTTATCTTGAAAGAAATGGTGCGTGGTTACACAGCTATAGAGGTTTGTCAAAACTCAGAATTATTCTAAAAAAAACCAGAATTCTTTACTAAAATTACTAAATTATGGCTCAGTAACAAGACTCTCTCATTATGTTTATCTCATTCAAGTAGTCATGCCTGGAATTCCAGGTGAAGGTCTGCTCATCTGGTCTTTCCAAAGATTTTCTAAGTTCTTAATCCCCTACATGATTCTGTTTCCTGTGATGGAATCCTGAAGTGGGAAAGAAAATAAAATACATAAAATTGTAATCAAGAATAAATACGTGTTAAAAGATGAGGAGCACATATCATTTACATAGGCATATAATGTCCATGTGACTACACACACACCCAGAAGATGTTGAGGTCATTTTGTATGAGATGGAACTTACATGATGGAAAGTAAAAAATGGGGCAAAAGACAGATGGTTGTAGTATTTTTCTTTATAAAATTATATGCGCCTGTTATTTTCTTAAAAAAATAACAAAATAAGTTGAGAAGCAAGAGAGGTAAAAGGGAAGGAAAATATCACTAGCATTATCTTAGGAGCAACCTCATCTAGTCACTTTTCTTCAGGGAAGACCAAGGTGGAAAGTCACGGGAAATTGGATGCAGAAGGCTGCCCAGAAGATGCAGTCAACTTCTCGCCTTAATTTTATGTTTACCAAATAAACTGGTTATACTTTGACTTTCTAGGTGTGTCTTCCTTGGGGGAAACTGTGCCCTTCTGAAAACAAAAATGACCAGTTTAGTCTACTTAAAACACAATGCATTAGAATCTGATTGAGAAAAACATTATTTCAACCATGTGTTGGAGGCTTCTTCTAAAATGCTAGACAGAGTCTAAAACCGAAGGGTTCAGTGGCACAAGATCGGATAGTGTTAAGTAAATGACTGACCCCCAGATATAATCCCTACAGAAAGGCAATAAAAAGGAAAATCGCCTGGTATGTGTTTCTTAGCACTTGCCAAAAAGAAAAATGAAAAATGTTAAGCAACATTCTCAAAGTATCCCATGGTCAAAACTTCTGGAAAGGTGGCATAAACAAAGCTGAATAGATGCCTTTACTGTAGCACAGCTCTGCTCTTTGGAATAAGCAGATGTGTTTGAAAATCTCCCTAATGGAGTTAGTGGTAGGCAGTGATTTTCAACCCTAATATGCATGTGAAGTATATGCTCTCTTGGGCTCCTTCCTCTCTCCTCTCCCCTCCCCTCCCTTGTTCTTTCTTCCAATCTTCTCCCTCACTCTCCCTTCCCCTCTCTCATATTATTCGTATATTATCTATGAAGGTTATGGTACTTTTTTTTTTTTAATGTAACCAGGGATCAAACTCAGGATCTTGCGCTTGTGAGGCAGGCTCAGCACCACTGAGCTAAATTCCTGACCCTTGGGACCTTTTTGAACAGGGCTCTGTAGCACCTCAATCAGGCCCCCAAGGAATTGGGTGATAGGGATGAAAATGGTGTTTTCACACTGTAACTGGTCCTTACTGAAGGATTTATGGAAAATCTACAATTCATTGCACAGCCACAACAGGCAATAGGGTTTGTTTCACAAGTTTATGGTTTAAAACTGGACTTGGCCAAGAAGAAATTTCTAGGTCATTATATAACTGATTTACATGCACAGAGTCTCTCACTTAAAACTGGGGTGTGTGAATGTTGGACAAAAGGCAACACAGAGATAGGAGAGGAGGTTTCTTAAGTTGCCTTCCTTCTGGGGATGTTACTAAGGAAATGTGTTGACACGGAAATGGATGGAGGTAGAAACCAGTGTAGAACCGCTTCCTTCCACAGATAGAACTTGGAACTCCAATCTTCTTGGGCCATTGTGCCATTTGAGGTCACGGAAGCAATGACTTGTCACATCATAGGGCCCCATGAAATTCCAAACTTAAAAGCGACTCCCAAAGAGTTTAGACAAGAGCACTTGGCTCACTGCCCCGCATCCAAAACTACAAAGGAGACTTGGGGCTGCATCACATGGGGGTAGTCTTGTTTCCACAACCGCAGCCAACTTTTAGTTACTCACGGGTCAATTATGTGACTGCTGGATTAACAGGCCCTATGTTTCTTCCCTTCCACGGTTTCTCATCCACCTTTGAGAATCACTCCCTGGCCACCAATCACTTCAAATTATATTTGGAACAAAAAATTAAATACAAAGTAGATGCCAAGAAGATTATTTGTAAATTAAATGCGAACAAGAGTTTCAAAGCCCAAATATAAATGGGCTCTGTCTATGTTTGTCTATGTCCATGTAGCTAAGCAATTTTCCCCTTGGTCTCCTCACGTTACACACAGTGGGGATGATCACTAACTTCCTGTGAACGTCCAAGTGCAGGAGAGGACAGCGCAGCCAGACACAACCACAGCACCTTGATGAAAGGCCTGGTGGGGAAAGAAACACACACAGGCTGTTGCTGTGTCAACTATCGGGGCATTCACATTTCCAGTCTCATCCTTCCCTTTCCAAACACATAGTTTAAATGGGGATGTATGGTTCCATATTTTGATCCTAATTCAATTATTTTGTATTTTTAGTAGTGCAACAACTGCATCTTCCACATCTAAAAAAAAGGTAATGTAGCCTGTGGATGGGTTTGATATTGCAAAGAACATATTTGTCCAAGACAATCAAGTGTGAAACCATGAACATTTATTAAGGAGATTCTAATTGTAGGGTCAGCTAGAAGTCAGATGTCCAGTTTGAACGTCTGTGGTATGCTAACAGCAGAGAGACACCAAAATTATTAGTGTGGGTAACATATTATTTATACAGAGCCAGAGTGCTAAAAGCCAGAGTAGATTAACACCATGCCTGGATCCACTTCAGCTGTAGTAAAGCTCAGTTCTGTCAAAGTTGACTTCATAATCATGTGCTCAATGAAATGATATATGGACATGGTGGCACAAATTACGCATCCAGTGATTAAAACAGTGCCCCATAGCCCTATCCCTGTGAGCAATTTTCAAATAAATTACTTTGGATGAAGCCTGGTAGAAAAGACTTGCCATTAAATGTAGTACATCCTTTTGAAGAATTAACTCAGGAAATAACTCATAATTACTAACCCCCTCCCCTTAACGAGTCTAGCCAAGGTATCAAGGCTACAACATTTTTCTATGATGTTATGGCAACTAAATAACAAGGCATTTATAAGTACTGAGGGCTATGTGTTATTGTATAATTATTTCTAAAATTAAAAATGGATCTTATTTTCAGAAGCACCGATTACTATTCAGACAGTATATATTACTACAGAATTGGACATTAAACCAATATTCTTGAAAGATTTCTCTTTTATTTATTATTTGTTAATTTATCTAGCATGTCATCACAATTTAAGGAACAGCTTAGTGAGTGCCTGAAATACTCATTGGGCTTAATTATGACTGGGTTTTTTGTTTTCTTTAAAAGCTTGGTTTCTATAAGGTTTAGATCATTTGCTTTTAATATAGGATATTTAAAACATACAGTTTTGTCTTTCTCTCTTTCCTAATATAAACTGTTTCTTTAATAAAGGTTCAGAAAAAGATACTGGTTTGAAAGATTTGGAATACCATTTTTAAGGTTCAAGATGCATACTATTTACTAACCCTCAAAATGCATCCGTAAGTACTCAATCTTCTTGAAGTTTTATTCCATTTGATAGTAGGTGGCTTTTTACCTAAGAATCTGTTTCATATTATAAACTCCTTTGTAAATTACTTACAAAGTCTTGACTAGCTCAGCACTATGACATAAAAATAACAAGAATGTGTGTGAGAAGACGGGGTGATCTTTTAAACTGGGCCTAAAGTGTGGTCTACGGACAGGCAGCTTCCATCTCACCTGGGAGCTTATTAGAAAAGCAACCCTTGGACCTCCCCAGACCTGCAGAATCAGCATGTCTGGGAAAGGTGCCCAGCCATCTGTGGTTGCTACAGTTATTTACCAGGTGCTTTAGAAACACTGTATGAATAATTTTCTTACTTATTAAGCATACATGTGAGGTGCTGCATTAAGTACTTACTATGCACTATCTTATTTAACATTGTACCAGTCTTTTGAAGTAGGCACTATTATATCTATTGCATAACTGAGAAAAATCCATTTCTTCGAATTCAAACACAGACATCAGTGATGTCAAGAGAGACTCAGTTCTGCCTGATTCCAAAGGTTGTACCTGGTTTCGAATGAAGCCAGCAGTCTCTCACGATGGGGCTTTCCTGGAATATTAAATTTTCACTGT